AAAGGATATCAGCAGTTCTTTCAGGTGTGAAGCTGGGGGTGGGGAGAGAAGATGAGGTCTGGTTTAGTTTCAGAAATGATTTGGATGCTTCCCCCTCATGAGCTGCCACCCTTCTGAAAGCCTGTTGCCCCTAAGGCAAATGGAGAGCCTCTTTTTCCCAAGCATGCTTCTTAAAGCCCTGAAATAGAACAAAGCTCCAATACAGGAATCACAAACTAGAACTTTTACAGGTGTGCCTAGCACTAACACATGTGTTCAGGTGTCCTGTGGTCCTGATTGAGAATAGCTGGCCCGATTGGTGTGAATTCATTCCATTGCAAGCTTCCAGGCAGGGAGATGAAAGCTGGATGCTTAGTGGGGAAGTCAGAGACCTCTGCTACAGCCTGCTAACTTTACTTTCAAGAGCAAATTAGATGCTTATCTTGCTGGGATCCTATGACCCCAGCTGACTCCCTGCCCTTTGGGTGGGGGGCTGGACTCGATGATCTTCCGAGGTCCCTTCCAGCCCTAATGTCTATGAAATGAAATCTATGAAACTATGCACCTGTACAGAACATGAGGCACTTACACTAACATTGGTAGGTAAAGCAGGAAATGTGAGAAAGTCCAGATCATGTTACTTAAATCAGTTTGTAGAAGGAGCTGCTTTTTTCAAGTGGAGAACACAATGATTTTGCTGGAGAGGGACTGGGATTTTTCAAAAGCATTCACAGGACTTGAAGTATGGTGTGACTACAGTTACCTTGGGTACCTGGATACTGCAGCATGAGGTCCACCTCAAACTGCTTATGTCAGGGGCGGGCAATTATTTTGGGCAGAGGGCCACTTACTGAGTTTTGGCAAGCCATCACGGGCCGCATGACAGGCAGCCCAGGGCAGATAAATATTCCCTTTCTAAAATTTTTTAGGAGCCCTGTGGGCCAGATAGAATGGCCTGGTGGGCCACATCTGGCCCCTGGGCTGCATTTTGCCCACCCCTGGCTTATGTGTTTATCCTGGGTTTGAAGTGGACTTTTTTTAAGCTCACGTTGTAGCTGCTGCTGCAGTTCCACTGTTGAAGGTGCCAGAGCTAGGTCCCCTGTAACTAGCTTGGGCATTCCAACTTTGGACAACATCTCCTTTGTTGTCCAACCTTCCTCTTGAATTCAGCCTGATTCTCCTGGGCTCCTTTGAGAAGTCCATCCTAGTGGTTCCTGTTTTATCATTTGTTTATTGACAGAAGATACTGAAACCCATGCAGCAAGCTAATCAGCCCTGTGCAAGATGGGCTGTAGTATACAGTGCCTTTCTCCATTTCTTTAGGATAGAGGAAAGTTGATAGAGCCAGGGGGACTTTCAGCTTGGAACCAGACAGAGCGTTCATTTGCTGTGGGATGAGCCCATCTCTAAGGAGACTGGGTGATGTGAACCTCTACCAGCTCTTGCTGAGCAATAACTATGCCTGGGCCAGGAGTGGTGACTTCTGGAAAGTCATCACTGAAAGTAATATATATATAATTAGTGCAGGGACTAAGGACACAGAGAGAATCCAAACTTGTAAACATCTAGGCTTCTTCATCTGGCAAAATTATCTGCCTCTGTCACGCAGCCAACTGTCAGGATGCTTCCACAGGCCCAAGTTTCTCCCTGCTCTTCTGCTGCTTGTCTCAAGGAACATGTGCCCCTGAGATGGCTCCTTTTCCTTGCAAGCCTTAGTTCCACCTGCCATCACATCAGAGCTTGCAGCTGCAGCAGGGAAATCTTTGCTGGTTCCAGGAGTCTCCCTCTTGCATTGTACAATATTATGGGTCTCCTCCTCCAAGAAGAGGTAAGCCTAAAATATCAGTTATCCTGAAATCACGCTTTATCACAGGCAATTAATAAGGCAACAACATAGCAAAAGATGTATATAGGAGAGAGAAATTTGTGCAAGAAAAAATAACTCTACAATTTGAGGGCAAGGTTACAGAAATACAGCTGATTAAACTCTTATCCTCTTGTCTGACTATGAAGATGTCCTTTTGAGAGCCTTGTTAGCATTTCCAGAGACCAGCTTTCTTGCTGACTCTTACCGGCCCCCACAGTTAGGAACCAAGATTCACCCTCAAGATATGGGAGGATCCAAAGACCACTTCTTGCCAACAGACATCTCCTAAGTACCTTTAAGCAACACCAATCTTTACTGTACTATTCATTTTTCAGAGTCCTCCAGATGTTTCTTCCTGTCTGGGGAATCTCAAATTCCCCCAGATAATGACCTTTCCCCCTTGAATGTCCTTGTTATTGTGTATGGCTAATACTTTTCACTCCAACCTAATCAATATTTTGGGTGCTTACCCTAGAAACTAGTTGCATCCCTTTTTCAATACCCCTTTAGTCCAAGCACCGGGTTTTTCTGACAATTGTTCTTCTTGGAATGCAATTGGCCATCTTCACTAGCATCATGGAAAGTGGAGTAGAATGAGCTGCCTTTGTTCTGAAATCTGGAGTCAGCACAAAATAGACAGTTATTTACTGGTACCTGAATGGGAGAACACATAGGCATCTTTAATTTAGTTTGTCACAGACCCATCACCAAAACAGGAATGATTTGCGGGGATCAGTGTATCATACAGAGGTACTTGTCCAGAGTTTGATTTAATACCCTTGTGTGTTAGCTTTTGAAAGCTAACAATAAGCAGTGTCCATTTTTATCTCTGTAAAGATTGTGCTATTTTTTAAGTAGGCTTGTAATTTTTGTAACACAGGCTATAGTCTTTTGATTAAGCTAACCAGATCACAAAGGTGATTTTTTTTTTTTCTCTAGCTAATTGCTATTTGCCGGTCTGAGGAGCTATGGCATACAGGGAGAAGGCAAAACACTTTACTAATCTGTTTGCAGTGTTTAAAATGATCTCCCCTCTCTAGTTACAAAAGAAGCATCCCTGTAATAAAGTGCCAGTTTATTGAAACATGGAGCCTTTAAAATTGTTGTGAGGGTTATTTGTAGCTAGGTTTGTTTAATTCTCTTTGTGCTGATGTTTGTTTATGAATATACTCAAATGGGAAAGATTATTTCCAAAATAGTTGTCTCTTTAAATGACCTGATGCGGAACTAAGCCTCACTCTAGTTAACATATGCAGCAGTCTATTAATGTAATAAATGAGACGTGAGAGTCCTCTCTTCTCTGAACCAGCCCTGACAGGAAAGGCACAGATGGGGCTTTCAGCTACCTGCATAAACACCACATGAGGGGTATGTGTGGTCTCTCAGTGTTTTAACTGGGGGACATACCTTTGGCTTACAGAACACTTTATTTTTGGCAATGTCACCAAAGGGGCAAACTGCATTAGGGACAAACTGGCAGAACTCAAAACTCAGTTCACTCCACCTTAGAAAAGAGCTGGCTCTAAGAATCTATTAAGAGAGCAACAGTCCACTATTTTATGTACTATTGCTCCTGGCTACTAATGAGGTGTGGTGAATAGAAAGAGAGCTTTTCGAACCCTGTCTCTGGAGACCAAGGACATCTTGTTCTCTTGAAGGCTGTGGTAACTCTGATTCAGGAAATGCTGGACTTGTCTGTTGTACAATGACAAGGTGACCTGCTAGCACTGTATGGGCTTACACTCTAATACCTTTATTTTACTGAAAGGATTGTTCTTGCTGTTGCCAAGTGATACAGAAGAGACCCTGAAATGCTTCCAGCTTTGATTCTTGCAGTCTGCTGTAGTTCTGCTTCCATATCTCAGGACTAATTTCCCCCCCTGCCTCCCCTGCACCTTTTTGATGTACTGAATAAGAAGGTATTCTACCCCTACTTTCAGCTTGGCCATACTGGGCTCTCCTCCCACCAAAGGCCATAGGATCCATCTTCTTCGTCTCCTCTGTCTTAGCTATTTCTGTGTGTGACTGCATGCTTTCAAACACACATGATTAAAAATCTAATATGTGAAAATGTCATGCCAGGGCTATATCATAAATAGTGAATGAATCTGCTGACATTCAGCTGGGGAGGAGAGGCTATTTGTGTTCCTCTGCCAGTACCCTGTGATTCACTCTGCAATGGGAATAAAAGGCAAATAGAAGTGTCAGCAGAGACTGTGGCAGAAGGTGAGGAGGAAATACTGATGTTGAAGTGAAGCAATCACTATGCAGTGCAGTAGGAGAAAATGGACATAAACTTCGTGAGAGTGTATTCATCAAAGTGGACATGACAAAACCAGTGGTTGCCAATCATAACTGGAAAATCTGATTTCTCCCATGCTCATTTCAGAGAGAATGGATTTATGGTAAAGCAGTTTTTGTTGTAATTGCAAGTCTAATAAGGACGAAAGAAAAATAAAAACCGTTCACAGTATGTGTAAGGATTTGATAGATGACAATTAGGTGCAGGTGGTATCTCAGGGTTTTAAGAGAGACAATCCATTAACATTTTAGTTGTGAAAGTGACAGCATCCAGTCTTTGTATTGGAAAGTGTTTCTTGAATTTTGAAAGTCTGAGTTGGGAGGAGAGGGTGTTAGACATATGATACAGTTGTCTAGTGGACTATGTAAGATGAGGGAACAGTGAGAATGATAACAAGCCAGAAATGTGGTCGAGGTCTTATTTGCTTGTGTGGGCTTCTGTGCTAGGTAACTTATGGAACAGACTGGTTCATCACCAGGGTTCAAATCAGCATCTAAAGCGCTTGAGGTCTGGGCTACCTGAGTAAGTGGTAGATATGATAGGCTGTTGTTTCCATATGAGCCTGCTGTTATGGAAGCACTGGATGCGAGTGAATTTCACAACTGCTTATTTGATTGAAGAAGAATGTTGAGACTTATTTTTGGCTTAATCCTTGGCTCTAGAGGCATGTGCACTTTAGGGGTTATAGATCATTCTGCCACTTCTTCCACAACTGACTGTCATTGTACCTCCATTCATGTCTTTCCTTTCCCCTCCACCCCACTTCTATCTTCTTTCCTAGCTCCTATCTCTCTCAACCTATTCCTGTGCTCCTCCCACTTCTGCATATGACTCCCATGTTTCCTCCTCCTCCAACTCATAGTAGTGTAATGACTCATGCTTATTACAGTGTCAAAATATATTAAACCAAAGAAGGGGTTATAGGGCAATATAGTAGAGCGCTTGGTTTGTTTCAGCCAATCACAAACAACTGGGTCATCTCATCTCCCAGGCAAAGATGTCACCAGAGAAATCATTTCATGTGTTTTTAAAATGAATTGTAGCTTTTATTCACTTTTAGAAAATGGGTAAACGGATATAGTTTTTTCCATAAAATTGGATTTATTCTTTTACTTCAAATGCAGCATTCAGCAAAATATAAGTGGAGAGATGGGAATAACTAAGAGAGATTGGAGTGATCATTTTAATTTCATCCAGTGATCTACACTGCAAGACCTGAAATGTCACACTCTCACTATGCACAATCTTTAATTAAACTTTGCATTGAAAAGGTCAGAGTGGTCTGTCTTCCTGCTGCCTACACACTAATAGCCTGACAGCAGTAGAGGAAAGAATAGTAAACAAGGCTCCTTCTGTCTTGAAAATAGTTAACAACCTACCTTATTTTATCTTTGGGATATAATGCATGCAACACACAACAAGCAACTGTGAATGATGCAGCTATATTTCTATTTTGGTGCTACTGCACACCACATGAGCAATTGCCAGACCTCGCTCCCTGCGATGAAAGCACTTGCTGTCTCTACTTATTTTTAACCAGTACAGTGCATGTGATTTCCACCCCCACAATCTTCTTCTCCTCCTCCCCCCTGTCTTTTTTTTTTTAAATACAAGTTGTACTACGCTCACTAAGCCATGGGTGTGAGGCAGTCGCCAAATAGACACAGAATTTATTTCATTTCAGTCTCTGACTTTTGGTTGCAAAGGTATGTTATTATTATCCTTCTTTTATAGTCTTAATCCTTGGGCATTTCAAAATGTGTGTCACTAAAGAAATCAATCTTTCTGTGCTCACTTTTGTAGAATTAAGAACATTGTATTCAATGCTCTCAACCTCCTACAATAATGATTCCAGATTTGCTATTAAAAACACACAAACAAACCCTCCTCCTAACTTCTGTACTTCTTAAGTCCATAAAAGTTTTCAAAGGCCCAGAGCTCTTGAACCATCAAGGCAGGGAGAACTGTCACTCTCAGATTTCTGCTTTTTGGTAAGACAGAATCTATTTTTGTGAGCCTGCCTCAAGGTCATTGCCATCAGATCCCATGCTCCATCTTGGCCCTGTGATTGAAATTGATTCTTTTTCTGCACCGCTTCTATTGTCAAAGTGCTTGTGGATTCCTGCATGCCAAGCAACTAAGCAGTACCATTTTCTAATACACCTTTGAAATAGAAGTTTTGAAGTCCTAAAAAAAAAAAAAAAAATGACAAGTTGAAAGGACTGACCAGGGAGCTCTCACTTTTTTTTTTTGTGATTAGTTCATATATATCTTTTTTTTTTATTTAATCCATTCAAAAATAGACAGAACTATAAGGTGGCACATGTTGTCAGAGAATACAAAGTTCACACCTTTGTACACTTTAATTCATGGTTTAAGCCAGTGATACAATAGCCTCATTTGAAGGGGGAGGGGGAAAAAAGTAGTTGGGTAAGTGTCTACATAAAGGTATTCTGAGTACAGATAGATTTCTCTATTGTCTATAAAAATATAACAATAACATTTTAAAATATTTTTAATGGGTATATTAAAGGTCAATGAATGGGATTCAGGTGAGACAGAATGCTATGAACTAACAATTTCACTGTAAACCACGGTTGATGATTTCCTTCCTCATAAGGCCCAAATGTGTATCTGTGTCTTTCTGAGTTTTAAAAAAATATATGACAAAGACTTGTAAGGGACATGAAACTTAACAGCAGCTGAGGATAAGGGGCATTCTTCTTAAATGAAAATTATTTTGCACCTTCCTAATGCATTTTTTTTATGATAAAGTTTGCTGATGGAAAAAGATGGTGTAATTGGAGGTCTGTGTGGGTTGGCAGTACATTTAGGTCTAAAAATATCAGTTTCCCTTATGGATATGGTGTTAGGAATTAAGACAAAAGTCAAAACATAGGCAGTCTAGTGTCCTGTGTATATACCTATTTGCACTACTATTTTTATAAGGACCACGGACAAGGACAAGACTACCAGTCCAAATCCAGAAGAGGATTAGACTCCCTGTGCAGCAGGACTGGAGAGTTAAGTAACAAGAAGCCAGACAACATTATAATATTAAAAATGACCAGAAAAAAAATCCCAAAAACTTTAAAATAAAGCATATTTTAGGGTTTCCAAGGTACAGTTGGTCTAAATGTGCTCAGTGTTCTCAAACTACACAATCTGATAAATTAAACCTGCTTGATTGTGTTTTTCTGTGTGGTCATCTGTTCACTTTTAAAATACAGAATTCATATCTGAACACTTAAATCCACTGCTCAAAGCATTAATCACCCAACTTCATTCTTTTGCCAATTCTAAATTTCTGTTGGATAAAGTTTCCAATCAGCATCTTTCTTATAGAGCAGAGCACTTTCTGCTGTGCTGTAAACACAAAAAAATCAGATGCTCACACAAGCTGACTTTTTCAAATTAAGTGATTTATAAATTAAAAAGGAAAATGTCAGGTTTCAGATAAAGGTTGGATGTTTTGAACTTTGGACAAAGTGACAGGTATCTTTGAGTCTCCTGGCATTGGTGCTTTTGTGACTGGGTGTGCGTGGGCTTTTATATCTGCTATTCTCTCTTTAAACCTTTGCTGAAGGTACTTTTCTTCTTTGGAGTAATTCTTTGCAAATGCAGACATCAGCAGACATGCTGCCATCGTGGTCCCTCCAATACAAAATAAAATTGCTCCTGCCAGCTTACATATGTCAAGAGAACCATTAAATTGAATAGCATGGGTATCTACAACAACAAAATCTTCTGCCCCAAGAGCTTCGATTTTTGGTGGCACAAGAAAACCCACCATCAGAACTGTTAGCCCTATCAGCATAAAAACTGTCCCGGAGATGAGTCCGACCTAGAAAACAAGCAGGTTTAAAAATTAATAATATTTCACAGTTTCTCTCGTTTAATATGTTGACATATACAGCTAATATTTTCAATGCATGCAAAGTATTTGGCAAGCTAACCAGCAGGCAGGCAGACCTTTTCTTTTAGGTCCCTTATAACTTGACTCAGAATTAAAATGTGTAGCTGTTATAGCAGTATTTGAATTGCTTCTACAATGGCTATTGATGTAAATGCATATATGGCAGTTTCCAAGAAAAAGAAATATATTACATCCTGTAAAGTGTGTGTTGTGTCTTGCTGTACACTTAAAATAACCTATTACTGTGATGCCATAAAAACTTTGTCATAGTGGAAGTATTTTGGCACCCAAAGTCTCTTCATTCAGTTTTTCCTAATAAACTACATTGTATATTGTTCTGCATGTGATACTTACTGGCTCCTGTCCATGAGACATCTCTCTCACAGAGGTTAATTTACATGGCTTATTTACAACCCACTGCTAATCTTTCTGCCAGATTTCAATTATAAATGCAAAACTTGATTTCTCCATAGGATTCCAGAGTTTTTTAGTAACCCAGGCCCTTATCACTTCATGATAGTTTGATCATACATTCCTGTGTAGGTTGTTACCATGAATGCCAATGGCAGCTATGCACTGAATATCAAGTAACAATACATTTATTTATACATTTCAGTTATGGCCAAGAAGTCTTTAAGTGATTAGTCATTCAATATTTGGATGCCCAATTGTAAATACATTAGATGCACCTCATTTTCATAGTGTCAACGCTCAAGAATTTGAGAAAATTGATTTCTGTCATGTACTGCAAGTCAAGCAGCCAAGATTACTAGTTACTTTTGAAAACCTTGGCCTATGTTTTTGTACAGTTTTAGATACTTCCTCCCCCCCCATTGGGTAATGGATAGTACCTTCCAGAATGCAGAGCTCCACCTGCTGGGCGATCTCTGGATCTGAAAATCATCCTCATACTCCCAAATGGAAGCTGTGCAATCCTCATAGAACTGGTGCAGGTAGGATCGAACTCCATAGCGATGGTAACCTCCCTCTGCACTACCTTGTGCTTGCTTGGACCCACAGATGTCTGCATACGAGCTCATTCTTCTTTTCTGCAAAGGGATTCCACATCAGTCATTACCAGACAGTACTGCTCCAGGTACTCTGTTGAGATGAATTCTTGAAGACCCCAACTAAGGGCTTTATTCTGGCCAAGCACTCACTCCTGGGTTCTCAGATCCCTTTGCAGTTCATAGATATTTACAGTACTACTGCACCTTAGAGATGCAACTGAGTGTTTCTTGTGGCATTCCTAGAACCAGAAATTCACAGTTCAAAGGGAAATTACTTAAATTCAGGATGGGGAGTCATCACTATCACCCTCCAGCTCCAGCCCAAACACTATTGCCTCTGCTAGCCATAGTTTGTTAGTTACATGCACCATTTCAGAACATCACAGAAACTTTTGGATGTCTATCTTGTTTGATTCTGTGAAACAAGTTTTAATAATGGGATAATATGCAGCTGTAATGTGTAGTTATAGAGGACCTGATCATGAAGTTTAGCCTTAAACAACTTTGGTTCTGAGGAAAAAAAATTCTGATTTCTCAAAAGATTTGTTTGCCTTTGACCATCAAAAAGAAAACTGATTAGGAACCAACTTGAAAGTGACTAATTTATTTTAACTAAACACACTGAGGAAAATGGGAACAGTAAAAACCTGTGGAGTAAGTCACAGCCGCACTAAAGTCAATGCCAAAGCTACCATCGACTTGAATAAGGTTAGGATTTCACCTACTGTGAAAAATACATATAGAGTTCCTAATTCTTTCCTTTCTAACAGAAGTATTAACAATGCACACATTTTATTTCTTAATCATGCAGGCCAACTATGAACACACTTATAAAACCAGAACTTCAGATGGTTTAATTAGAGGTACACAAGTGTTATTCAAAGACTTGTTTCAACTATATCTCTCTGAAATACTTCTAAAATGTTGTCTATTTAAAGACACATTAATATCTTTTTATGGACTGAGCATGATCAGAAGGCATCAGCTTTAAGTAACATAATTGACTTCCTATAACAGGGAACCAATGTAACTCAACAAGGAAACAATGCTTTAAAATGCTTGTTGTAGGCTAGGTTCTCAACAGAAAGCCTCTTTTAAACAAAACCTCCTTCCATGGGCATCTAGCCCTCTTCCATTTCAGGAACTGCAACAAGGTGATGACAAATACATGGGCATTTATACATGTCTCTGGGGGCGGGGGAGAGGAGGGCACTTTAATTAGAGTGTATGGGTGTCCCCACACCGAAAAATGGTGGAGGGGGCTTTAGTTAAAGCACACCCACCAACATTTTTCAGCATGGGGATACTGGAGCATGGTAATTACCACACTCCATCCAACTCTGTTAATTGAGTCTGCTCCAGTGCACTTTAATTACACCATAATCTGAGCAGCCTTGATGCAGGTGTATAGGTGCCCCATGGGATATCTCTGACTACAGACTACTTGCTTTACACACCTTAAAGGAGATGGGCAAATACTGCAGCATTCATCTAAACAATGCAAAAATTTAAAGTATGGTCATTAGATGGCAGACTGAGGTTCTTGGCAGTAGTCTTTAAGTCCCTTGGAATCTGGTTAGTTCTGTGGGTAAATGATGGGGAATATTTTGCTCTCTTTCCATGCATTGTCAATAGTATTTGTTTTGTATTTCATAATTGCAGCAAGAGAAATTTAGGTTGGACATTAAGATGAACTTTCTTACTATGAGGGCAGTTCAATATTGGAACAGGCCATTCAGAGAAGTTGTGGACTCTCTATCTTTGGAGACTAGAAGATCAGGTTAGACAAACACTTGACTGGGATGGTTTAGTTAGGAATGATCTCCTCTTGGCCAGCTGGTTAGACTAGATGGTCTCCCTCGTAACTCGACTATTCTATGATAATCCTTCCATTAGAATACAGAATTTCTGTATCATGATCTGTGGAAAGGCCTTTTGGGCTGGTTAAATTAGTCTGTGAAGCTTCACTCTTCCCTGGTTAGTTTGCTTCTAATAGTTGAGCTAGCTCAGTTGAAACTAATTAAGGTACCTCTATGCTGCAGACAAGATGGTAACTTTTTCTAAAGGCAACGGCCAAATTATGGCCCAACAGATCAGGTATAATGCCCATGAGATTAACAAGGCTATACAAGTTTCCTGCCTGAGATTTAGAGCCTGCCCTTCTTTCCCATTGGACTCCATGTTTTCTACTTTGTGCTCAGTATGCTTGTTCTCCCCTCTCAAGGTGTTTCCAAGTCAAGAAAAAGCTGGTCTCACTTTTCTGATCTGTGGACTGGTTAGAACAGCACTTCCTCCCCCCTTGATATGTTTCAACTCGGGAACTCCCCTTCTTAGCTACAAAGGTAAAATGTGTGTGGATTTGTCTCATGAAAGCAGCAATTAAGCTGGAGGGAGCCCCAGAAAGCACAGACAATCCTGAATGCTTTTGGAAGTTTATACCCTACCTGTCTGAACAAGAACAACCTAGGACCTACATTGTCTTGCTTGAAATGCACAGAGCAAATTAGACAGCATATGGGAGGATTATTCATCTCTTCCTGAAAGTATAACTGGTAAGAAGATCTTATTACAGGTATTACTGACAACTTGTAAAGCTGTAAAACATTATTAGGTAGGCCTTGCACACACAGGATAACTTGCATGTCACAAACCTTGACATTTTCCACTAACATGGAATATTTTTTTATTGCTGTTTGCTGCAAGCCTTTTTGTTGTGCTATAAGCTTTAATCTTTATATGTTCTCAAGCAAAAGTGACACGTGTCAAATTATAGGGTTAACCATTGTAGAAAAAACTCTTAAACAACATTTTTTAATAAACAGAATATTTTTATAGTCCATTTGTTGTTCAGTGTCTGAACAGTTCTGTTTGTTCCTTTGGAAACTTGTCTGCTGTTTTTATTCCTTACCTAAAAATCAAGGTCATGTCTTTTTTATAATCACAGCCATATACCCAGCAACTGACTAGCTGTAATTTTGACACAGGGCAATGATTCCAACCATCTTTTCCCCCACAAGTCATCCTCCCTGCTTCAACCCCAAAGATCCTGTAAAGATATTCCTTTGTAAAGAAGAAAAGGGAGGGTACAAGTACAGAAAACAGCATTCTCTAAAGTAATGAAATAACTGTAAAAGCAATAATTTGCTTATTAATAAAGGTTTTCCATCAGGAGACAGCAAAAGGCTTCAATAATGACAGAAGAGGAGCAAAACTATATGCAATAAAAATAAGAATGTGCTTAATAGTTTGATAGCTTCAGGGGTTTTAAAATGCCTCTCAAACACTAAATTAGCTCAATCATAACCTGTGTGGTAGAAAACTGTGCCATGCCTATTCTACAGCTGAATGAAATGAGTCAGACAAAATCAAATGACATGAATAAAACCATATAAGAAGCTAGCAGTAGACTCAGGAATCATGGCTGCTAAGCCTATGCATCAGGCAGGTTATTTTGCTAGACTTGCCATAACTATGGCTAATCATTTCCATAACCTTCTTATTTGCATAGCTCTGTCATACCTAGGTCAATATTGCTATAACCTGCTTTAGACATACAATACTATAATAATAGCTTATTATCCATACACCTCAAAGTGCCCTGTAAACATTAACCACACTTAATTGATAAGGAAAACTAAAGGGACTGATCTGTCCTACAGTGGATCACTTACAGTACAGGAAACAGGCAGCTACTCTCCTGAATCTCTATCCACCTATTTGCAGGGTAACAATGTTTCCTTCAATAAATTATTGGTGCTTGGTTCTCTATTGGCTTGCAGCTTGTGTAATCATCTTCATCAGTGCATAATGAGATGAGTAGGGAAAGCATTTTCCTCTCACTTTTCACAGGTGTAAATGACTTACTAGACCAAGGCAGCAGTCAGGCCTAATGAGCTGGATTCATTGGTATATTGCAATTGCCCTGTGCCTAGCAAAGCAGCCATACAAGTTGGTTAAGCAACTCTAAACTTGGCTTTGTTTCACTAGAATGACTTGAAACTAATGAAGCATATCAATGGATCTGCCCCAATATCTGTAGTTTACTATATTCAGTTCAAGAGAATGGAATGGAAGAGGAAGTGGACTTAGATTAGTTATGTCAAATTAGTCAAATTAATTATGCACCACTTGGGGAAAAAAAATCCCTCATGGTTGCCTTTGTTGTAACCACATTGCGTATAGGTCGAGACAGGTATGGTATCATTTGTTGTTTTTAATTCTTGAAAGGGAATTGGCCCAGGAGAAATCACACATTCTGGAATTATTTATTTTTCCATGGATTTTTGTGCTTGAAAAAGCCTAAAAATTGGATTTTTTTCTTTATAACAGAAAAGCTTAAAATTTTCAGAAAAGGCTTAGCAGACAAAAACCAAGCATGATCTTTTTGTTAGAGTCTAATGAGATGTGACAGAAGGTAGAGTGGAAATGTACCTCATACACTTACTTACTTAGTAATCTCTTGTTCATAAGCTTTCATGAACAAGATATTATTTCATCAGATGCTGATCTACAAGGGGCATCTCTACACTGCCTTCTGCCTGTCTTGAGACAAACATGGTTAACTACCTCTCAGCTGTGACAGATTAGATCATCAACTCATATATCCCTTTTTGAAATGGGGGGCAAGGAGGGGAACTGATTAAGTGTAGCCAGTGCTACTAGCTGCTTTCAAGAAGACATTTTTAATCTCTACTTCACAAATGCATACACATACACAATTAACTTGCAACCTGTTGGAAAAACTATATAGAACTCTGCCTCTCTTCTTGAAGATTCTGTCAAGCTGTAGGCTCAAAAAGGTTTCACCTTCCTGATGGTTTGGAGTAGAGTGACATTCTGGCCTAAGATGCCTGGTCTTCTGACAATGATGGCTTCTGCCTTGTAGTCTGGACAGATCATCTTTCTGGTAAGAAACTAATACGTACTTGGGTATCCTTTGCTAAAACGGATTATTGATTTAACATGGGCGTTGGGACTGAACTTGAAACTTGTATCTGCTCCACAGAAAGTGCTTGCTTTTTTTTTTAGGTTCTATACTTAAACCAATACAGTTATTACAATCCCCTAGAAATATGGTAATGTATGATCAGATCACTGCCTTAGAACATGCAGCTGCATAGTAGCAATCCCTAGCAACTTTAGTTTCCATGGTAAAAGCTTCCCTGTGTTTACTTCAAGGTTTATTACAGAGGCAGTGGTGGTGTGATCAGTTTTGTGAATAGATGCATATAATGTGGAGTCTACTTCAGGGGAAAAAACCCCAACTGAATGAATTCTCAAATTGCTTTGTAATTTATTAATTTTTTTATTGAAGTATAAAAAATGATTACAGATTAGAACATTGCATTTGAAAGATATGCCAAAGCAGAACAAAGAAAACAAAAAGGCAGTGATGCTGTCAACACATGCACACACAACTATGAATCTGAAAAACATAAAACACAGTCTAAGAGAGGTTCTTATGGCTGAAGTCTGCTCCCCCATTCTCATGATGATATACACTGTGACCTTTCTATTTGCAAAAGGATTGTTTTTTCCTGTTTTACCTACAGAAAGAGAGCCCAGAAGCAGTGGATATTAGAGAAAATAAAACAGACACCGAATAACATTTAATGGGACAGTCTTTTTGCTGCTTAAAATTTATATCATTACCCATTATTTTCTAAGGCTAGAGGTATGCTAAATATGATTTGTACTCCAGTATGGTGAAGGGGGGAGTCCTTCCACTGACTTAAGAGGATATGGATCTTGTCTTCAGTGTAAAAGCCTCCTGAGGAGTCGGTTGGAAATTGTTCTATGACCTGGATAAGGAAGTATGATATTTCAGGGCACCTCATTACCCTTCTATGTAGAGAACTCTGGCCTCTACTTTATGCATGGGGAAGAAAGCAGCAGTTATTTCTCATTTTATGAATACACAGGGAACTAAGCACCTTAATTCAACTTGGACAATGCAGAGGAGAAAGTAAAGTAAAGCAAGGAAAAAGTAGCTGTGCAAATTCTTCAATTCATTGGACAAGGAGGAAGCAGAGACCATCTTGAAACTATGCCCAGATCAATGCAACTGCAAGGTGCCCTTTCCTGAGGGCTCCTCATAACTCCCCAGTCTTGTGCTCAGTGCCTTGGTGAGTAATGAGGTTATTGTGCAAAATCCTGCAAATTAAAATCTAACACTGTCCCTTTTGCTCTGCTTACATGCTTTTAGGAACAACTGAGCAAGGTTAGGCTCACTTCTGATGTCTTAAAGAAGGTTAAAGCTGACCCCCCAGCATTGTCTCAGTGCCTTCCTTTCCATTCTATCCACCGGGAACAGCTATGTTAGTGGAACACAACCCCCTTACCCATCCCATCCAGCTGATGGACCCCTCCCCCTTCATCTCCCCAGCAAGGACAGCCCCCCACACGGCGGTCGTCGGTTTTTAAAGAAGAAGCGATGGCTGTCGCCTTCTCCCCTCCCATCCCGCAAAGAGGGGTGATCAGGTGCCGGGGGCCGGGACGCTCTTGAGCCAGGTCTGGGGCCTCGTTTTTGATGCCTGATCTGCTGCCGCGAAGGAAAGCAAAGCCCTCCCTTGAGCAGCCTCCTCCGAAGAGGCTGAGCTCCGTGAGCCTCTCCCAGACCAGCGAGCCCCTGACTTTCCGGCCCGGCCCTGGCGACGCTGTCCGCGGTGCTGAAGCCCGGCCCCGGCCGGCTGGAGCTCCCGGGCAGCCGGGCCCCGCGGCGGGCGCTGTCCGCGGTGCTGAAAACCGGCTCCAGCCCGGAGCAGCCGGGCTCGGCGGGAGCCATTCACCTGCCTGCCTCGGCCAGGCTAATCTGAGCCGCTTCTCCCCAGCAAAACACGGCTCCCTGTTTTGTCCCCCTCCCATCGCTGCCGGTCTCCCCGAGCAGCCGCAGCCCCTGTGCTGGAGCCGGGAAGGCTGCCGTCTCCCTCCGCCCGGGGAAGGACTGGGGCTCGTGGGCAAGGGAAGCCGGGTCCTGCCCAATCCCCACAGAGCAAAGGGACTCCGTTACCTGTTCCTCCTCCTCCTCCTCCCGCGCCTCCCCGCCGGCCGAGCCCAGGCAGCTGGGCTAGCTGCGGCTCTCTCGCTCGGGTCCCATCTCCACTCTGAGCCACTCCAGCCCCCCACACCACGTATACCTCAGCCCGGGGCCAGGCTCGCCCTGTGCCTGCGCACTGAGCAGCAGCCGCCGCCTCCTCCCGTCACCCCTGCAGCAGAGGCTGGCTGCCGCCTGTTGCTGTGTGCCTGGCTTCTCACTGCACTTCCCAGGGCTTTACACAGCCTCTGTGGGGGCAAAGGGGGTGGGGCGGGGGGGACGGAACACACAGCATACTGTGCCTTGGCCTCTCGAGGCCATGCCGGAAGGGACAGTCAGCCAGGGAGACTTGCTTGCCCCCAGGTCACACAACAGAAGCCTCGCTTCAGGTTGGGTTATGAACCTAGAGCTCCCTTGGGTGCTGACACTGGCTGCATTTCTTCCTGGCAGGGCTGTCTCCCTCTTCTCTGAAGCACTGGGGCCACAGCAGTGCTCGGGCCATGTCCCTGCCTTAAAAGTACAAAAAAAACTCCAAATAAACAAACAAGAAAAGGACATTAGGGAACACTCACCCAGCCTTAGCACCAGTGGGTCTCCAGGGACTCAAGCAAGGTGCTATGGACACCCGATACGGCTCACAAAGGCTTTGTTAGATGCGGCACTTTCAGGTGTTTAAATGTTGGTGGATATTAGTGCCAGTTTCGGTTTGGAGCACGTCAGGCCAGTAGGGGCCTTGAGGACTAAAAGGTAAGGATCTCCCTCCTCTCCTCTCCCTTTCTAGGAGTCCTCCCTGCCCCCTGGGGCTTTCTCTGTTCCTTCCCTGCCCCCAGGGTTCCCCCTGCTTCTCAGGGTTCCCTGCTGCCCTGACCTGCCCCACTCTATGCCTAGGGCTCCCCTCCTGCACCTTGGGGTCTGCCCCGGATCCCCCACCCTGGGGCTGCCCTCCCTGACCCTCATGGCCCACCTACATCTCCTGGGTCCCCCAGCTTACTTGTGGCCACCTGCCCAGTCCACAGAGAGGCAGTGGTGGTGATGGCAGCTGTAGCCAAGAATGTAGGTTCCCTTTCCCTGCCTGCTTCCCTGGGACAGTGTCAAGTAAGCTGGGACTGGAGAAGTGAGCAAGGATCTGGGTGCTGGGGGGAGGTGGGGGATTGAAGGTTTGATCTGGTGGGGGTGGGGCAGCAGGCCAATCTCAGCTGGTTGGGGATGGGATCGAGGGGTGGTGCCCTGGTAGGGAGGGTTGGGTAGTGCAGTGGGCTCTACCTGGGCCAGTGAGTGGGTGGGTAGGGCCTTACACAAATGTGTAGCCTACAGTGGCTACATGCTAGTGCAACATGAGCTGGGTAACACAGATTAGAGATTAACCTAACCTGGAGTGGCATAACATTAAACCACATAAAGAATGCTTAAAACTAATTTCACATGTAAATGTGTGGACAATCCAGGGGTTAAGAACTCTAGGAACCACTTAAAATTAATGTGTAACAAGGCCCTTGGACACTAAAAGATGAGATGGAATTGGATCTCATTTACATCTCTAAGTCTGCTTAGGTCACTAATAGATAGGGACCTACCTAAATTGTGGTGGAAGTTTGTGGTGCAGTGATATCTTTATTTTTGCTCTTTTTACTCCGATTCCCCCCTGCTCCCTGACCATTGCTGAGTGGCTGAGAGTGGATTCATGCCATGGTTTTTGTCTCTTAGCCACTCAGTGGTGGTGGGGAAGGGTAAGCTGCAAAAAAAGCGAGAATAAGGACATTGCTGCGCTGCAAAATTCTGCTGCAATTTAAGTAGGTCCGTACTAATAGGATCAATAGGATCTGGCTCCGGGGGCTCCAGCTTGGGCCAGAGCCTGACAGAATGCTTCACAGGCTCAAAGGGGCAGCTTGTCTGGAAAGCAGGGGATTGCTGCTGAGAATGCTATCTGTGAAACTCCATCAACAATCACCCTGTGCCACCATCTGTCTGGATCTCAGTAACAGAGAGTGGGGCCTCATTTATAATGGGCTCAGAGATGTGGGTTCTAATGTTGGTTTTGCCCCTAAGTGACTAGGGTGGCCTTGGTCATGCAATCACCTCTGCGCACTGCCTATTTATAATGTAAAACTCCCTGCAGAAAGAACTGTGCACTTGTAGACTTCTGAGCTTTATCTCAGTTGGAGCTTCTAGGCATCACTGTATAAATAACAGTGGGCTAAGATATGTATATATTGATTTTTATTGTCCACTTACAGGGTGTTAAATAGCACAGAGGAACCCAAATTCAGCAATGACCAAGCTTGATGAGCTACCCATGTACAAAGAAAAAGAGGGACTTGAATCACAGGTCTCTACCATCATCATCCCACAGGCAGAACTTCTTAATGCCCAATGAATTTGTCCTTCATGTTTCCAACTTGCTTGGAAGATTATTTCTATTGAATACCATTAAAAATCCAGTGGGAAACAGAATCATGCCAGTTCACCATCTACAGAGCACATTTTGGGCTTGATAATCATCTTGGCTGCTGCCTGCTCCCCCAGCCACTGTATATGGGTGCAACTTCTCTGATTTAGTAAACTGACACCAACATATACCAGTTGAGGATGTGACCTATCATGTTCTTGCTGAGATATCAATAGTGTGGATTGGATAGTGATGAATAGCATAAATAAGGAACTGATCTTTTGCCCTAAATTAGTGCTAGGTCTGTGTCCTTGGGTCTGCAGTTGCAACAGGAGGATAGCACTAGATTCAAAAAATGCTGCAACATGATGCCTTAGAGTACGTGTCTATTAGATTAGGTAGGCATGAATAGAGTGCTTCCCAAGTACTATAGTGGAAGCTGTGACAAGCAGAAAGAAAATACTCCAAGCAATGGGAAAAAACCCTGAAACTGTCCTCTTATACATAGGAAGAAACTAAATGAAAGTAGGATGTGGTATTAGTCTTCATTAGATATTTGGATACATCTTTGTAAGGAATGGAGTTGCAAAGAGTTTAGGAATTTTGGGACAGAAAATAGATTAATAAATTCATAGATGCTAGGGTTGGAAGGGACCTCAAAGGATCATCAAGTTCAACCCCCTGACAGTGGCAGGAAAAACTGCTGGGGTCATGTGACCCCAACCAGGTGTTTGTCCAGTCTCCTCTTGAAGACCCCCAAGGTAGGGGAGAGCACCACCTCCCTTGGAAGCCCATTCCAGATTCTGGCAACCGGTACTGTGAAGAAGCTCTTTCTGATGTCCAACCTAAAGCTATTCTCCATCAGCTTGTGGCTGTTGTTTCTGATTATTCCAAGGAGTGCTCTGTTAAACAGAGCATCTCCTATTCCCTGCTGCCCACCCCCCCAGTGAATCTGTATCCTGCCACAAGATCCCCCTTCAGCCTTCTCTTACAGAGGCTGAAAATGTCCAGGTCCGTCATCCTTTCCTCATAAGGCCTTCCCTGCAGGCCTCCCTTCTCTGGACCCTCCCAAGATTGCCCACATCCTTCTTGAATTGTGCTGCCCAGAATTGGATGTAGTACTCTAGCTGCAGACTGCCCAGTGCCACATAGAGGAGGAGCATCACCTCCCTATACCTGTTTGTGATGCACCTACTAATGCATAACAAAGTGCAGTTAGCTCTGCTAATTGCTTCATCACATTGATGACTCATATTCATCTTGGAGTTGACAATGACTCCAAGGTCTATTTCCAGTGTTGTGCTGCTGAGAAGGTCATCCCCCAGCCTGCAGGTGTGCTGGTGATTCCCTCTCCCTAAGCGTAGCATCTTGCACTTGTCCTTGTTGAACTGCATCCTATTGTTCTCTGCCCACTTCGCTAACCTGTCCTGATATGCCTGGATTCATTTTCTGCCGATCAGTGTGTTTGCTTCGCCCCGTAGTTTGGTGTCATCTGAGAATTTGAACAGAGTGCTTTCCATGCCCTCATCCAGGTCTCTGATGAAGATATTGAACAGCACTGGCCCAAGGACTGAGCCTTGGGGGACCCCACTGCCCACATAGTTCGAGGTTGATACTGACCCGTCCACCACCATTCTCTGAGTATGACCCTTAAGCAAATTTGCCACCCACATGACTGTGTAATTGTCTATGGCACAGCCATTCAATTTGTTTATAAGAATAGGATGGGATACTGTGTCAAAGGCCTTCTTAAAGTCCAAGTAGATGATATCTATCTCAACAGCTGCATATAAGCTTTTAGTGACCTGGTCATAGAAAGAAACAAGGTTTGTCAGGCAGGATCTACCTGCTATGAACCCATGCTGGTTGCCCTTCAGCATTATATTATCCTCAGGACTCCTACAAATGTGATCCTTGATAATTTTTTCAAGCGTTTTCCCAAGGATAGAGGTGAGACTAACCAGTTTATAGTTATCCAGATCCTCCTTCCTCCCCTTCTTGAAAATAGGGACCACATGGGCCTTTTTCCAGTCCTCAGAAACCTCACCTGAGCACCATGAGTGCTCAAACAGTCATGCCAGAGGTTCTGCTATGACACTGGCTAATTCTTTCAGCACCCGTGGGTGGAGCTCACCCAGTCCCACTGAGTTAAACACATCCAGCCCCTACAAGTGTCCATTTACTAGGTCAGTGCTGACAGTTGGAAATCGAACTGGAAATAAATGTAAAGGAAATAAGAAAGAAAATGTAAAGAAATATGAAATCTAATGAGAAGAAATTAGCTGAGAAGCATGACAATTCATTAGTAGATGGGAATTTTAGAATATATCAAGATAGAGAGGAAAAAAATACCAGTTGTTTTGGGAGTGCTAAAAATACCAGGGAGGGGACTGGACCTTTGAAACTCTTGAACATATAAAAATTAGCTGGGTTGTATAGACTATATTAAACTCTTAACTGACTGCAATGCCTTTCTCAGTTTGAATAGTACATGATGCCATAAATAGTCCCATGGAAGGTAGAAAGCAAAGTACTACTCAAATTGAGTGATATCACAATATAGCCCTAAGAGAATTAGCTAATGAAGTATCTGCACCGTTGAATTATTTGTGAAAAAAATCACAGAGGTGACAGATGGGAAAAAAGTAAATAGAACACTCTAGGTGCCAATGAAGGAAGGAAAAGAGGTCCTCATTAGTGGTCCAGAAGGCTAACACCTGACT